ACACACACACACACACACACACACACACACACACACACACACACACCAGAGTTACAGAGAAGCAATCTGATGTCTCAGATTCAGAGGGAGGGTCCTGACTTGCTCTTGCCCAGCTCCATAGAGCACCCACCCCATAAGACTCCTACCTCCCACAGTGATCGCAGGAATGTGAAGATGCCTAAAGTCATGGGAACCCAAGAGAAGAACCACTAAAGCTATCATCTCTGCTCCCCGGTCACTGAAGGCTCTAACCAGTCCCAAAAGTGTCCCAGCCCTGGCCATCCCACACAGGGGTGCAGTTTCATTCCTGTGTCCACAGACAATCTAGTAAACTTCCAGAAAGGGTTCACCAGACTCGTGTGTGTGTGTGTGTGTGTGTGTGTGTGTGTGTGTGTGTGTGTGTGTGGACTGCTTAGGCCTGAGGGGTGGAAAGGGAGAGAGTGGACCTCTCCCTCCCTCCAGTAGCCAGTGGAATGCTGCTCTGCCAGCTCCATGTGATTAATCTGAATTGCCTCTTCACTGAGGGATGAACAGGCCTTAGAAAGCCAGCTAATGTAAGATAATGGTTCCAACAAAATGCAGCTTATGAAAGGGACCATAAAAGAAAGTGGGGTTAATGGTTAATGATTATACTGCTGAAAATCTAGAAAGCAGCTCCCAAGCCCAACACATTTCAACTAAGAAAATCTGCCAGGCCCCTCCTGTGTCCACACATCTCCCAACAACCCCAGGAGACAAACCAGCAGTCATCACTGTCCCCTCTGCACAGATGGGGGCACAGGTCCTTGGAGATCCTGATATGAACTAACAGGAAGCAGCTCCTTCAGTGGCATCCAAAGAGCCCTTTGTTTTACAGACAGAAAAAATGAGATCCAAAAGAAAAGGGGATGCATTGGAACAAGGTCACACAGCTGGGGAGGTGCCAAGTCAGAACTCAAACTCAGGTTTTTCTGGCTCAAAGTTCACGTCTCGTGCCACACGAGGAGGTGGTTTTGTAGCTTCCCGGACTCCCATCATTATAGGATGCTGACTCTTACAAAGGGTCATCACAATTCTGGCCTAGCCTCCTTCCTATGACCTCCTCCTGGGCCACACAGAGAACTGTCACAACAAGATCTCTAGCTCCATTGGTCTTCTCTCTCGCTTCACCCTTGATGGGCACTTCAGGCACTGAGACTTGGTAGGTCCATGAAGGAAGTATAGGGGACCCCATGACGAAAGCATTCCTCTTTGCTACATGACCAGGCTGTGTTCTCAAACTGGGTCAGAGTATTTGTTATTTTGCATCAACTCTGAATGCTGAATAGCGAGAAAAAGTGGGACACTTTGGAACTGGTCTTCCTCAGTGCCAACAAAGTGCCATTATTGTAACTTCATTTGTGTGGTACAAATGAGAAGGAGATAAATGTCGTGTTCCAGCCAGAGTCTATTAGTGGCTATCAACTGAGACACAGGAAGATGTGCAATCTGGCCGAGTTAGAAAAGGAGAAGAGCTCGACACTCAAGATCTGAGATTTTGCACTCATTCTGCCCGGGATTTCTGAATTGTAAAGCAAAATAAAAATGAATACGATGAATTATACACCTACAGCCAGTTTCCTATACTTTTTGTTTCCAAATTAAGTACTAATTCTGGCTGAGAAGTTTTGCATGTATCTCTCAACCCCTACAGGCTTTCATTTTTTCATTTATATCCAACAGCTTGCTACACCATTTGTGTGAAAATTAAATAAGAAAATGAATCAAAAACTATAATAATTCCACAAATGTTATCAATATGCATTACACATCATATACAGCTATGAACAATTAGGCACCTAAGTGATTTAAATGTTATATGTTATCATGTTAAATGTTAAATGTTATATGTGTATCATCCAAAGCATGATATACTTAACTCTTTCGTTTCTGATGTCACATGTCTGTATGATAATCCTGGGAGATATGATAGGAGACAAGGGAATATTTAAAAGTTTATTGTTTTGTTTTTATGAATTTTCACAAGTATAGTCCTATAGAGACATACTTGAGGAGTTTTTTCAAAGCAAATTCACTCAACCAACAGCAATCCACATCAGTAATTAGATTATCAACCCCTCAGAAATCTCCCTCCTACTGACTACCACCCTCTCTTCCCCAAAAGCAACCACAACGCTGACTTTTAATGTCAGATTGTGCTTTAACTTTCATAAATGGAATCATATAGTATATACTCTTTTTGGTTTGGCTTCTTTCAGCATCCTATTGTCAAAATTTATCCATCCTGTTCCGTAGCTCACTCGTTTTTATTGTATAATATCTCTTTATATGAAAATTCTTAATATATGTATTTGTTCTATCATTCATGGACATGTGGGTTGTTTCCAGTTGGGGGCCTGATATAAATAATGCTGCTCAGAACATCCTTGTAAATTTCTCTAAGGAAATGTTTATAGATTTTCATTGAATGGAGAAAGGAATGCCTGGTCATAGAGTAGCTTTATCAGGTGTTAGAAAACCACTCTCCAAAATGTTTTCTACTCAAATGAAAAGTGAGAGTTCCCGTGGTTCTACATCCTCACCAGCCCTTGATTTTGTTTTTTGTTTGTTTGTTTAATCTCAGCCATGTTGATGAGTGTGGAAATGTACCTAATATTTTCATTGCCCTTTCCTGATTAATGAAGCTGGGCACTTTGTTCCTGGCCATTTGGATATCCTCTTTTGTAATGTGCCTGTTCCAGTCTTTTGCACATTTTTAAAATTATTGCTTATCTATTTTTTAAAATTTTTAGATCTTTATGTATTCTGAACATACATGTTGTTATAAACATGATGTTATAAACATCTTCTTCCTCTACGTGATTTGCCTTTTCACTCTCATAATTGTTTCCCTTTTTAAAAGATGGAAAAAGGGAAGGCAAACTGACCAGAGTCTCCCAACAAGTTGGTAGTACACATGGAAAAAGCTGATCTGACTGAGATCCCAGGATACAGCTTTATGTAATAACAATAATAAAAAAAGAGATTTTCAGGTAAAATGGGAGAATTAGTGATCAAATTATATATATATAATATATATAAAATATAGATATATGATACGAGACAAGGGAATATTTTATATATATATATATAAAATAAAAACAATAAAACTGTATTATACAAAGTAAAATGCATATATCAAGAAATGAGCCAGATATTGAACAACTATCAAAATTATTCAAGTCATATCTATCATTTCTTCATTTATCTCTTTTTCTCAAAGTTGTAATGCATTTTAATTCATTTTGTCAATATTCTCTTTGAAATATATCAAAACTATAGAAAATGAAACAATAGCATAGTGAAGACATGGGTACCTTCCACCTACTAGAGATTCACATTTTACCACTTTTACTGTGTGTATGTGTGTCTTAAAATAAGAAGCAGACATCATGACACTTTATTTCATAATGTTTTAAGTGGATTTCTACTTCAAATGAGGGAATTTTCCTACATAGTGATACAACCATTATCTCATTAAAGGGTTTAATATTGATAATATTATTTAACATTTAATCTATATTCAAATTTTCTCCATTTTCCTAACTATGCTTTTTATGAGCTGCTGGCTTCTCTCTTTTTTTTTTCAAATCTAGGATACACTCAAGAGTCATTGAATTTAGTTGACACATTCATTTTCATCTTTTAAAATCTAGAATAGTAGCTTTGCTCTTGGGGGCAGGGAAATGGTCATAAATGACACTACTGAAGTATCCAAGTGTACTGTCCCATGGATTATGCCACTTTCTGGATTTGCCTAGTTGTTTCCTCATGATTATTAGATTCAGTTCAGATGATTTTGTAGACATACACCATACTTTTACTTGGGTTGTCA